CCATTTCATATTGACATTCCTTCATTTCCCTCTTTACTGCCATATTTAAGCTTTGACGGGCTTATATATATCTATTTTTTTTTCTCCACCTGCCGTCCATTGGAGCGCTGTTCTTGCCAAATGTCACGAGGTTATTCTGCTAACTTGTCAAAACCGTCGTCATCTTCTATCTTTGATAAAGTTTGCCGGAAATAAACCTTTTCTTTCTCAGTTGTTTATTTGTGAACTTTTGTGCTAAAAAAATTCGCAAGATTCTCCTTATAAATTTGTGTTTCATTCTTGATGACATCTCGAACACCCACTGTTGAATCATTTTTCCCTCTATTTGTGTGTGTAAAAGTATACCAACTTGAAAGTCCCGATACAGTGAAATAAGTGCGAACAAAGAACATCCGCGACGTAGTCATACGTTTTAGCTGAAAGTAATCTTCGTAAATATGCCAGGTTCCGAGGGAAAAAAATTGCAGCAGTTTATAGAAACCTTCAATCATCTCTTGAAGGATGGCGTATATTGTAAAATAAACAGCAGCTGCAGAGATCCATCATGTCACCCGCTAACGTTGCGTCTATGCGTGTCTGATGGAGCTGTCAGAAACACGTTTAAGATAGTTCTATACGAGTACAACAGGGTGTCTCAAACATGTGTGTATGTTGTTAAAGCTCTTCTTCTTTGTTCACCAGCCGTAAGCTCTATCGGAAATTCCTGCTTCTTGTCCATTTAGACGTTGGCTTTGTGCCCGGGTCTGAGTTTTGCATTTACACCTGTTTTACTAGCTTATTTGCCTGCTATTGGTTGTTTTCCTGCCGCTTTGGCAGACGTACTCGACTTCGAAGGAAGTCCCCAAATAAATAGGTCCATTTCTACGACATGGTTGTGGGTCAATTTTTTTGTTTCCCCCACAATAGGGCTCCTGAACCTACACGGCGATTATTGAAGTTTACAACCTGGGAAATATTTTTCTCCTATTTAAGTACAACATTTGTTATCATCAGCATCTCCCCAAACACCGAGTATCGTTAGGTCATCAGTTACTGCTGACTGTTTGAATAGCGTCCTCTGTTTCTGCCAGTCAGATGCATGTTCACGAACTGTCCATTGAATCAAAGTGTGTGCCCGAGTCTTTCTTAGTCATCCTCCTTCCCTCTCCTGCAGTATCGTTTTCTGCGCAAAATAGAAGGAATTTATAGGGTCAAAGGAGTATAGAAAGACCAAAAAGACATGGAGATGGAAATTAGAGGAAAAGTGGGAAATGGTTGTGGGGGCATGAAGTGAGCCAAAGGCGATGAGAAAAGACAGGACGACGTGGATTAGTTGGTTGCTAACGTATGCTTTCTTGTTGGAAAAGGGGGGGGGGGGACGTGGGTGTAAAGGCCAGCAGCAGCAGAAGGTCCCTTAGGACTTACTTGCCTACAGCTAAACTTTCAAGAAAGAAAATTCATAATTGGAGGTGGCAGTGCAAAGCGGTAGTCCAACGAATAAAAAAATGTTTGCTTCTTAGAAAAGGTGAACAGTCCTATCAGCTTCCATGTTCACTCGCTTATTCGCATTTTGATGTCTGTTAGTTTTCTGGCTTTATCTGACCACGTTAGCGCAGTCTATATGAGGCTCGCTTTCAAATCCAGCTGCTATTCGCTGCAGCCACGGTCGGTGATCGAAACCGGGCGGTTCCTGGGGTTCACCTAGCCTCTAGGAAATGGTTGACACTCTGGGATGAATGGAGGAACGTCGCTGTAGCTACGGAGTTACGTGCGGACGGCGACACATGCGGACATTTTTTTCATCGGCTGTCTGTACTGGTGGCAGAGCACTTATAGTTTATAACCGTGTGCATTGACGCTGGTTCACATCTCCTGACTTTACCTTTTTATCTATATTTGTGCCTCAATCAGCGTGTGACTCCACATCTTAAAGTGGAATATGGCCAAGAGAAATTGTTGCATTATTTACCTCGCTTTTTTTCCGTCCCTGGAAACTGAAAAAGGCCAGATAAGTGAAAATGTCAGATTTTGACAACTAAAGAAATATAAAATACAAATCGTCGCTCTCGATGCATCGTGTTCGCCTAATCACCGGAAGTTCACGACAGTCACATGGCTCACCAGCGTAGTTTCAAACTGACTACGAATTCCATCTGCTTACATAAGAGTGGGTTAGGCATTTTTTGTGGGTGATGTGTATATCACTGAAGACAAGTCATCAAGTAAACAAAAGGTACAGTCCTCTATAAATTAATAACGTAGTAATATTTTGTAAGCACCATTGGACAGACAGTTACACACACACACACACACACACACACACACACACACACACACACACACACACACACACACACACACACGGGCTGTGCATATATGTATGTATATATATATACATACATTCAGAAATTTTAAATCATTTTTCAAGGGTGTGGATTCTAATCGGGAGGTTTTTCATAACTTATTCGGACTCCTAGGACAATGGGCCATAAAATAGGTATGAGGTAATGTCCTAGGAGGTAAAGTCTGCCGAGTGTCTCTATTAATACGGGTCTAGCATACGACGCCAGATGCACTGCTGACGTAACGGGGGTCTTTTGGTTCTACTAACTTATTATTCACAAGATCTAGGCGCTCTACAATCATTGCCTATTGGAACATTTCAGATCTACCCTGAAAGTGACTTTTTCTTCTTGTTCACGGCTGTAGACTTCAGCTCGAGGTCTGGTTATTCGTCCACTTCTGGACTTTAGTAGCCTTGTTCCAGAACTAGAGTTTTGCTTGCGCATCCGTTTTACTGGCTGTCTTTTTTTATGCAGACTGTTGGTCCCTTACCTCTCAGACAGATTGCACTACGACCTCGACTTTACGACTTTCCTGTTAGAGGGCAGGTCTTTTTTCTTCCTGCACATTTTCCCACCGGAAAGCCCGACTGGAAATATTGAAAGCAGTCCAAGTAATTTCTGACCCGAGGACTGACAGCTTAGCATTACAAGCAAGACTGGCCATTTGTGAGCTGAAGGTGGACAAGTTAAGCCTCACAAACACATATAAGCTGCGAAGCCAAGACCCCTCACTCAACCAGGTCAATGTACTGTCAGCTGCGGTGAACGCCCTGCGTTCGAGTTCGGTTTGAGAGAAAAATCTGCTACCTGTAATTAAGAATCTGCCACACCGGAATTGAACCCGAATCTCTTTGATAGAACGCCAGTGCGCTGCCAAACTTACTGGCAGCTCTGGTTTAAGCGCCGAAGACTGACAGTTGGGAAATGAAGATTGCAGAGTACGTAAAATGTCAATGGGTAACTCGACATAAAGGTAAACAAAGGATAAGCCACGCTGAAAACGTAATAACAGGTTAAAAACAGGGACAACAGGTTGAGAGAGATTAGAAGACAAGATAACAACCACATTAGCAGAATGGCCTAGGGAGAGATAACAGCAGGAATGACAGACAATAATCACGGGACCTGTAGGACGATCATCGCCTGCATCTCTTGGCATGACATGTGAGGATTTGATTTAGCACAAGTTAAGATTGCAGCAGAGGAAAACTCGTTTATAACTACACGCATCTCTAACACGCAAACTGCTGGTTACAAGTCAAATTATTGGGTAGAAGTTTTGCATCTGACTACCCCTACTGGATCTTTGAGAAGTGGGTCCAATAAATGACTTCTCAGGTCAAGGAGAAAATGGTAGGGTTGGAGTTCGGCCAATTTTTTTTTTTTTTTTTTGGGCGCTGAAGGGTTAAAGTTTCCTGACTATTTTTGAAGTTACAAAGAGTATGTCAGATATGTATAGGAAATGTTTAACATTTAGTGCTAATATTTTCTGTTATATATGTTTTTTAATGCCTTTGATACCAAACTGGACATCATATCTTGTGGCACTCCTGTTTCGTTCTTCCCCAAATTTCTTGTTGCCACAGTGTACCCTAGTTTTCCTCTCCTCACGACCTGCCCAGCGAGTGTAGATTGTCACCTTCGTGTGCGAGTAATGCTTTGTCTACCAGTGGCGAGGTGTACATGTACTGACTGTAATTGCAGCGTACACTTTCCATTGGAAAGGAAAACTACAACATTGTACCATTTGTTTCTACCGCTAAACTGTTTATAACAAATTTACTGTTTTACTATTTATTACAAATTTACTGTTTTACTATTTATTACAAATTTACTGTTTTACTATTTATTACAAATTTACTGTTTTACTATTTATTACAAATTTACTGTTTTACTATTTATTACAAATTTACTGTTTTACTATTTATTACAAATTTACTGTTTTACTATTTATTACAAATTTACTGTTCAACTATTTATTACAAATTTACTGTTTTAATATTTATTACAAATGCGTCTCTACGTCTTGTCGATCATATAATGTTTGATAAGGTTATTAACATACTGAACAGAAGGCGAGCTACAGGCTTACGCCATTTATACATAAACTGTAATGTATGAAAGCTACCAGTTACTCGTATTGCAATGCTAAGTGTGCATGGACATTCTTAACGGCGAAGCGACAAGAAGGAGAACATCACCTGCTACCCTCTCCAGTGTAGGAGAACATCACCTGCTACCCTCTCCAGTGTAGGAGAACATCACCTGCTACCCTCTCCAGTGTAGGAGAACATCACCTGCTACCCTCTCCAGTGTAAGAGCTACCAGTTACTCGTACCTGCTCACCCTCTCCAGTGTAGGAGAACATCACCTGCTACCCTCTCCAGTGTAAGCGTTGCCTTCTAACGCTTACTCGTGAGAATTTATCTCGCCTCGCCAGGTTATTTTGATAGGTTGTTATTAATATATCACTATGTGAACCCATGGTTAAACAATGCTTAATGAATACTGATCATATTGTTTCTACATCCTCTGTCAACAGTTGCCACAATGATCCAAAGCTGCTTCGTTTACTGGCATTCATTCTTGAGGACTTTGTGACACGCAGTTCTAGAGGTGGCCAGGATAGCCTGTAAACTCGGGGGCTGTGCCCTCCTCGGATCTTGGGAGTTGACCATGACCGTCAGTAGCCACTGCTGGGTCAGCGGACTTCTTATTTTGCTGTCGGTGCTTCAGGTTGTGCACGCATCGTGGTGGTGAGTAGACAGTGTGTTTGAATTTGTTTCTGTTGCGTTTGTAGGTGGCATTTATCACTGTCATCGTCATCACTGTCATCAACATCATTGTCATCATCATAATTATCATCATCACTATTATCATCATCACTACCACCATCATCATCACTACCACTATCATCATCACCACCATCAACACAGTCATCATCACCATCATCACCATTATCATCCACATCCCCGCCTCATCATCACCACCACCATCGTCATCACCACCATTCTCATCATCATCACCGTCATCCTCATCACCATGACCATCAACCTCATCTTCCTCCTACTCCGCCTCCTCTTCCTCCTCCGCCGCCGCCTCATCACCATAATTATCATCATCGTCACCGCCATCATCCCCTCGCGCCGTCTGATATCACATAGTGCTGGGGATCCCCAACTCCATTGTTTCATGCCAACCTTTCTATGACGTACATGGATAACAGTCGGGGACTCTGTATCTACGGTATCAGTCATGAAAGCAGGAACAGATTGTATAAGAATATATATCAGACAGAACAGTAACTGGCGGAGATAAAAATTAAAAAAAAGTCTTCATCATCATCACGCCGACTGGCGTGGGCGATCATGCCTCTCCATAATCCACGATCTCTTACAGCATGTATCAGTTCGTGTGCCGACACACCTCCAGGCCATGCAGCAAGACTGTCAAGAATCTTCGTTTCGTTGTCTTCCCCTATTCCTCCTTCCACAGATCTTTCCAGTGGTCACAAGATGTTCTATTTTCCCTCTTCAAAATGAAGAAAAAAATATTAAAGAACTCTATTTGCTGCTATGGTAAATGATGCTACCTATATCCATATTATAAAAATCAATTGGCAATAGACGGGTGATGCGATCAACCTCACTCATGTCGTCTTTACTTCCGAAGACACTTCTGTATACCATTTCTTGGCTGGGTCGGTTTGAGAACATTCTGACGACAAGAATAACTGTAATACCCAATGTTCAACAGTTGTATAGACAGAAATAGGAGAATTAACGATACGCCTGGGTTCACTTGCTGTTTGTATATATATATATATATATATATATATATATATATATATATATATATATATATATATATATATATACTGGGAGAATTAACGATACCCCTGGGTTCACGTGCTGTTTGTTGTATATATATATATATATATATATATATATATATATATATATATTCTGTGAGAATTAACGATACCATTGTTTACTAGTTGTTTAGACAGAAATGAGAGACTTAATGATACCATTGTTCAGTTGTTGTTTTGACAGAAATGGAAGACTTAATGATAACATTGGTCAGTTGTTGATGGGACAGAAATAGAAAAACTAACGATAACCCTGGTTCATTACTTGTGTAGATAGAAATATGAGAAGTAACTTTTACTGTAACTTTAAGAATCTGTGTGTTTCAGAACGTATGCCTTCACGCTTTAACAAATATCTCAAAAATTTGTGAACGGATTTCCCTTATCCTTACGATTCTATAATATACAATTGCGCATGTGTTGCTATTTTCTTAAAGCGGCTAATTTCTTTGATCTCTGTGTGACTAATAATTTTCGTACGCCTAATAAATAGTCACAGTAATTGACACACCCGTAGAGATTGTTTGGAAATCAGTTCACATGTGCAACGATGCTTGGTGATTATTTTGATAGCCTATCCCCCCACTTAAGGAACCATAGACAACTCACGGAAGACGGATGCTGTAGATAACCACCTGAGAGTGAAACGCCTATGAAACTCGTGGTGCATTTTAATGTTTTAAAAGGTTCGCCTTGCTGAAGTTGCAGTAAGCATGCCGTTTGTTTGCTTTGAGTTGGTGTCTTTGTGTCATGGGTCGCAAATGAGGCAGAATAGTTGCAGTATTGATATTCGGCCCAAATAGAGAGTAATTAGGCTTCATTGATGCTCGGTAACCTTTCACACGCGCTAGTCTCAGTTAGAGGGGAGTCAAGTGGCGTTCTGTTATGTATTTATTTCGCGGCCTGTGAGCGATCAGGTGCACGGCGTGTTTTACTTGTTGTTCTGAGCGGCAGGCAATATAGCGTATATTCTAGACTTTTCGAACTTCAAGTACTACGTGAATTTACTTCAGTTGTCAAAGCAAAATGTAAATATTTCTGAAACCACAGGACGTACGCTGCAGTCTCTCTTGTGGCTAAGGCTGTGGAGAGGGGAAGGGTTGGGGGTTAGATTTTCTAGGGTCTTTAAAAGCGGTCGCATCGTGTAATATATAACACGCGTCATCGCTGATGAAAGCGTTGTGGACAATACAGCGTGACACCCCTGTAACAGAGAGTCACGCACGTCAAGGTCTGCAAGCAGGAATGAACGACCAATCACAGTGTGCCTGGAATAATTACTAGACCCACCGAAATTAAAACAGTATGTTTTTTAACATTAAAAAATAAATTGTACAAAGACATGCCTATTAACCAGCTACATGCCAGATGTTGACATTAAAAGCTTACTTAGTTACAGATTTGTAAAGTTTGCAGGACTTCTGTAACGGACTATATATTTGTTTATCCTTTACAAGCTTTGCAGAACGCACCCCAGTATTTGTTATGATTTGTGCGATTTTACTAGGCAATTTACTCTCAGAAGTTTGTCATTGCTTATGCAAGGCAGACTTTTGGATATCGCTGCAAAGCAGTCTGCAGCCAAATGACCCACAGCTAGAATCGAACCGTGTATTTCTGAATTGCAAACTGTTTTCCTGACGGCAGCCGTAAATGTTATTAGTCGACATAAAATTTCACCCCTACTGATCGATGGGTTTCCCTCAGAGGTGCTACCAACAAGTCAAACATGCCATTCTGAAACTAAAATGTCTGCCTGGACGAGAAGAGACCAACAAGACAACTCCCAGGTACCCCGCTCACTCCCCCCCCCCCAGAAGTTATTAGAGTACCCGTAACAGCTACACCTGCCAGGTGTGTGGTCCCATTTGGGTGAAGACACATAATATCATTCCATCTCGATGAAGGCCACAATGGTTAAGAACGCTAAGCTGTTCGGGTTCGAATCCTCCGCAATGTTGGATCTTTTTTCAATAAAAAAAAAAACAGCTGTACATTCCTAGGCGACAGTACGAGCAAATAGGCCCTAAATCAGATGCTCCCCCCCCCCCCCCAACCCCAACCTTTTACACAACAAAACTGGTAACAACAGACGGTAATGGCAGTAACGACTTGTTATTTTGCTAACGTTTACCACAAGTGAACATTCTAATTTGTCATTTATTATCTTAAGATGCCCTCTTCTTTTAACCATAAAGTGGCCCACTAAATAAGTAAGACTATCCGTACTGCAGACTGAAGATTCGGATACCGGTGACATGTATATTATGATGCACAGGTGTGACACGACACCACTTAAGGCTGTCAGTTTGAGTCAGTCGCCCCTGTCTGCAACAGTAGTCATGCTACAGTTTCTGCTCCAATAACTCCACATGTGGGTTCGCCTGTCTGAGCCTCCTTGATCACTTGCACTGTGGCATCCTGATTGTCACAGGAACCACGACAACAACAATTATTTGTGAACTGTATCTCTGGTGGCATCCGCGAGAAACAATATCTGGCTTGTCATTCAGTTTATAGTGTAGGTGTACAGAAACTTTGCGGCAACTGCTTGGCGTGTCATTTTTGTTTTGTTTTGAGTTGGGAGTTACTTGTTTATGATTTAACAAGCTGGTAGTTGTTTTAGTTTAGTCTTAGTCTCTGTAGTGGAACTTTCTGCTTACCATTGCTTAGACTTCAGATACCTGTCTCTATAGTGAAACTTTCTATCTATCATTGCTTGGGCTCCAAATACCTGTTTCTGTAGTTGCAGTTTCTGCCTACCATTGCTTGGGTTCCAGATACCTGTCTCTGTAGTTGAAGTTTCTGCATACCATTGCTTGGGTTTCAGATACCTGTCTCTGTAGTTGAAGTTTCTGCATACCATTGCTTGGGTTCCAGATACCTGTCTATGTAGTTGAAGTGTCTGCCTACCATTGCTTGTGTTCCAGATACCTGTCTCTGTAGTTTTAGTTTCTGCCTACCATTGCTTGGGTTCCAGATACCTGTTTCTGTAGTTGAAGTTTCTGCACACCATTGCTTGGGTTCCAGATACCTGTCTCTGTAGTTGAAGTTTCTGCCCACCATTGCTTGGGTTCCAGATACCTGTCTCTGTAGTTGAAGTTTCTGCATACCATTGCTTGGGTTCCAGATACCTGTCTCTGTAGTTGAAGTTTCTGCCTACCATTGCTTGGGTTCCAAATACCTGCCTCTGTAGTTGAAGTTTCTGCATACCATTGCTTGGGTTCCAGATACCTGTTTCTGTAGTTGAAGTTTCTGCCTACCATTGCTTGGGTTCCAGATACCTGCTAGGGTATCTTTTCTGCTAGATCTAGCTTTTTCCTTCTCCCTATCACTGTCCTGACCTCAGCAGGCTATTTTGTCTATTCTATTCCTCTCTTCCTCTCATGAGGCAAACAACCACTGTCAAGTTCACCCTATTACCATTAAAAGGGATGATGATGATGTAAAACCATTTGGAAACGACAATAAAGAATCGTTATTGTTTGCTGATAGTGTTAACTCTTTCCAAATAGGTTTCACACAATTTTTCCAAGGGACACGATACTCAGAATAAATAGTGTATGAGTGCATAACTCTCTTACTCTCTCTTGTTGTACGCCACCAAGACATCACACAAGCGATAAATACCAGGTGACACGAAGTGCCACCATGCGGATGAGGATTACCCGTAGAGAGGTCCCAGAAACCCTTTTCAGCCGTCAGGCCATATTTATGGCTTGGCTATTTTTAGGGCCCCCAGCAAAAGCCAGGTTGGGGCTTCAAACAACGAAAAATTGCGTCCCACATAGGGACGATCTTATAAGAAGTGCATAACTTTAACAAAAGACATTACACACGCTGCTTGTAACACAACGTTGCATATTTTAAATATCTGACGAGGTT